CGTAGTCGAACTGGGGCATCAGCATCGTCACGGGGTCTACCGAAGAGAAGAGGGGGGAGAAACAGTAAATACATAGCAAGCAAGTGCATAACAGGATAACAGGCAGAGCTAGACGTGTTCTAACGCGGTATGAGGCGATACCGGTGAGGGGGGGGGGGGAACATCCGGGAAAGTATCCCCGGTGTTCCGTGTTTTCGGACAGATGAACCGGAGGGGAAAAGTTGCATGTTCGATATGCTAGGGGTGTGTGGCGGACGAACCGACCACGTATTCGGATACGTCTCGTCGTTCTGAGCAACTTTCATGTACAAAGTTTTTTCATCTGAGCTACGATTTATTTTATATTAATTTTAAAAGATTTAAATCATTTTTAAGATTTACTTAATTATTTTAAAACAACATTATCCAGAATAGTGTTTGCTGATGTCATCATGACGTCATCAGTCAACAAAGGTGTTGACTGGTCAACTGACGTGTGGGTCCCGCATGTCATTGACTGCTAATTAACCTAACAGATTAATTAACTAAACTAGGTGATTAGGTTAACCTAATCAGGATTAATTAAGTTAATTAATTCTTTATTTAATTAACTAATTAATATTTTATTTATTATATACATATATTAAATCCTTTTTTTGTTCTCAGGGGCGTGGGCCCCGTTTGTCATTGGCCCAGAGGCCATAGCGGGCACGGGCGCTAACGGGCACAGCCTGAACGGGCGCTAGCCCGCGGGGGCGCACCCGACCAGGCAACAAGGGGCGGCTGGTGGGCGCGGGCGCCAGCACGCCGGCGTTGAGCTCCGGCGGCTGCGACCGGGCGGAGCATGGGGAGGGCCGCGGCTGCCGACATGCAGCAGGGCGGCCAGAGGCGGACGACGTGAGCGCGAGGCCGCGATGAGAGGGGCGAAGGCTCCTCGGTACGACACAGGGCGAGCGGGGAGGAGCAACGCGTGCGGGCGCGGAGAACTGGTGCGGAGGCTCGCACCCGACGCCATGAGAGGCGAGGGTGAGCGCGCCTGGGGGCCTCGGTGGTCGCGAGCGGAGGCGGCCGGGGACGTGCCAGCCACGGCAGACAGGGTGCGCGGGAGCAACGCCGTCAGGGCGGTGCGTG